AATTTTGGAAGCATTTTCACTATCTGTTTTCTCCATTAATTCAGCAACTATTTTACAAGGATACCTTGTTTTCATATCACTTGATTTGGAGGTATAAATAATACACAAAAGAGTAGAAATCTTGATTTTCAAAAGAGTTTTAAGAGTTTTGATAATATTATTATTAACATTTATCAAGTAATAATGAAGCAGAGTCAACCATGATTTACTTAGAAGGTATGTTTACCAATAATTTAAAACAGTCTTAATAATTTCTTTGTAGATATTTGAGACACGACTCTATATCTTCCAGTTAACTGTATGTGAGGCTATTGAAATGCCATGGCTTGGGTCAGGTGCACCTTTCTCCTCAAACTGACATCTTTGCTCTTGGACACTTTAAAGATGTCTTGGCCAGCAGACGTGCTCAGTGCAATATGTCGTTTGACTTGACTGCTGTTTCCATGAGTGTTGATAATGGATCCAAGCAAAATTAACTCTTTGACAATTTCAATCTTTTCTCCATTTATCATGATGTTATTTATTGGTCCAGTAGTGAGGATTTTGTTTTCTTTACATTGAGGTTCAATGCATGCTGAAGGCTACTGTCTTTGATCTTCATCATTAGGTAAAATGACACACATCATGCAATTTTAATGTTGTTGTTATTAAGTGTTGTCAAGTTGGATTTGAACTATCAACCTTGCAATTCAAACCTATCTTGTGGTCCAGTGCATTATCCCACAGTGCCATTCCAGGACATATACAACCTTTGCAATCATTGTAATAGTAACTCTTCCCCCTTGATATTCTTATATATCTCTTAGTCCTTACCCTTTTAACTAACCCACTGCTGTAGAGTCCATTTCAACTTATAGTGACCCTGTAGTTGACAAAGGACAACTGCTCCCTAGGGTTGCTGAGGCTTTAAATCTTTGTAGTAGCAGAATGTCTCATCTTTTTCTTGTAGAGAATCTGGTGGGTTCAACCCTCCGACCTTTCATTTAGCAGCACAATGCTTAACCCACTGCACCACCAAGGTATCTTCCTTTTAAGTAGTAGTATGTATAAACATATACCATGACATTCTAAAGATATCATTCAAACGATAGTTTGAAAATTAAAAATCCCTTTTAATTACCTAGGTAATCTTTCTGTTGCCATACAGGTTGATAGTTACATAGAAGTTTTTCTTGAAGTAACTTACCTGCATAAGGTCATGTTGACTACAAAATCAATTAGTCAGTATATCAGCTATATGTCACCTTTAGACATTCGAGAGAAACTGGTTTGAGTCATGTTTTCAGAAAATTATCATAATTAACTATTTGTCCTGATGTATAAGATCCAAAGCTCTAGGGAGTTTGAAAAATCTAGATTCTTTGACTATATCCCATGAGAATCTAGTTGAGTCAATCTGGTGTTGAAAACCTGTCTTTTCCAAAACCTACCATTTGACTCTGAATGCTCATTCAGGTTTGGGAAGTATCGGCATGGACGGCTTAGCCCATTGTTCAGCTCTGGCCATGATGGAATCTTTCTGTAATGTTAGGAAAGTTTGAGGTGTACTGAAAAAGCTCTTGAATGTGAGCAAGCTGACAATCTCTACTTATAGCAAGTTTGTTTTCTTTCTGTTTAAAATATATATTTGTGTCTATTCAGGAACAGAAAAAATGTTTTTATTATCCAAATCAAAACACAGCGTGAGGTATTTTCCAATAAAATCAACTGTAGATTATACACAAGTCAAAATCATCTGCCTGTTTACTGAGTTCAAAATCCTTCTAGGCACTGGGAAAAAAAAGTTTAATTTAAGATTTTAATCTTCCCATATATTACAGGGTCTCTGTAATGGATTTTGTGCGTCTGAAACTAAAAGATTGACAGGTCTGGATATTATAGATTTATTAACCATTGGTTAAATGGTCAGAGCTAGTGCCTAAAGCATTTCCACAATATCCCCTAGGCTGGACTAGAATGAAATATTTCTATAAAGCCTGAGGTATGCAACAGTTAAGGTTAACTGTTATAGAATAAAAAGCAAAACCTGCATTTTATTCTACAATGGTCATTTTGTACACTGAGACACTAAACATAAAATGTGATGCTGAACTCAAAAAAGGAAAAACAAAATCCACACAAAGATTGACGTCTTGAAAATTTACTAACCCATTCCTGCAGGTACCCTGAAAATGTTGGCACAAACGCATTTTAAAAATGGATAAATAATGCAAAACACAAATTGATTCTATAATAATAATAATTAAGTTCTGTAGACTCCTGCAAAGGTTCATAGCCTTGGAAATCCTATACAAGGTTGCTGTGAGTCGGAACCAACTTGACAGCAAGTAGCAACTACAACAACACAGACACATAGAACCAGATAATGTAAGTCGATTATTCAAATTATCTAATTTAATCTTTAAACTACCCTAGATGTAGGCTCTACCATTATTCCATTTTACAGATGGAGAAAATTGAGGCCCAGAGAAACTGACTTGTCTAAGGTCAGCTAATAGTGGCAATAAGGGATATGAGTATTGACTTTCTCTTTCATGGCTGTCTTAAAAGAAACTCCTGATGTGGCACTGTAGGATACGCACTGAACTGCTAACTGCAAGGTTGATGGTTCAAACCCACCAGTCACTCCTCAGAAACCTTAAACAGGGTTGCTATGAGTATGAGTCAGAATCGACTCAAGGACACTTAACAACAAACACCAGCAACAAGAGAATGATATTTTAAAATATGCAATGATTACAAAGTCTTCAGATTATCCTGGTGTGGCGCTGCAGGTTAATGAGCTGGACTGCAAGGTAGGCTTGAACTGCAAGGTCGGTGTTCCTAGGAAATCCTTTACAGGGTAGCTATCGGTGGAAAAGGATTCAACAGCAGTCAACAGCAACAACAACAAATGTCAGAATAACCAAAGAATTGATGAACTCTGGGACTTCCTGGTTGCATGGCTAGGAAATCATCAACTTTGCTTATCATGTTGGACTTTTGCTCATTGTTCAAGGTCCTGGTCTGAACCTGATAAATATTTGATCAGTAGACTGAATCTATTCTCAGAGCAAAACCACAATACCATTAGAAAAGTACCATGGAGAAATGTACTAAATAAACGCAAAATAGCAAATACTAAACTCTGCAAGTGGAAATGGACATTTGTATGTTTTTCAGGGCTGATTTGTGTTTGCCTCTCTTGAAATTACGAATAGAGCTCAGTAATGCCTATGCTTCTAAAACTCACATAAGGATCACAGTACTTTATGACACATTCTGGTACTATTCATTATTCCTTTCTGTTTGTCTAATTTAATATGTTGCATTTTTAAAAACAAAGGTAGATAGAATCATTTATATTTAATCTCTTAGAGCAACTTAAAATTTTCTTTACTTAATGAAGTTCTTGGCAGATTTTCTCTTGTGAATTCAAGCTAATAAAGACACTGCTCTTTTTGATCTTAGATTCTGACTTCATAAGGATGTAGATTTATGAGAATCTAAGGTCTATTTTCACCTATACTCACTCTCAGCTTGTCATATTGTGCTGGCTTGCACACCATTATGATGCTGGAAGTTATGCTACCGGCACTTCACATAACACAAGTATGGTTACTGATGATTTTAGTCAAGTTTCCAGATTAAGATGGAAAAGGAAGAAAGGCTTGGTGTTTTAGCTCTGAAAATTAGCCATCGAAAACTGTACAAATCAAAATAAAATATCATCTCATAAAGCGCTGCAAGACGAGCCTTCTAGGTTGGAAGGCATTAAAAAAAAACACCGTATTAACAGCAGTGGATTATCCCAATGATCATGATGATGAGGCAGAAGCAGGACCAAGCAACGTTTTGTTCTATTGCACATAGCATTGTTATGACTCAATCCCAAACCATGCCCACTGCCATCAGGCTAACTGCATTTGGTACAGAGTAGAAGTGCTTCATAGGATACGTTTTGCCCCTGTTAATGTTATGGGAGCAATTCACCACATTTTTCTTCCACAGAATCATAGGTGGATTTGAATCAGTAATCACAAATGGATTGTATTACACAGTAACACCTTTATGTTTATGGCTATGTTACTTATTTCTTATGAAAAGACAATTTAATTCAATGAAATCTATGACTTTACCAAATAGTTTATAGACAGATTTGATAATGACCAGAATGACTGTCTTAACCAATTGCCATAGTGGCACTTTGCACTTCGGTTAATTTTTTCTTGATTGGAACATTAAGAGTTTATTGTAGTTTCATAGTAAGATTAGATATTATATAAATAAAATTACATATATTTGAAGTGCATTTAACCCTTTGTTGTTGTTATGTGTCATTGAGTCGGTTCTAACTCATTGTGACTTGTATAGTTTCTGAAGCTTTAAATCTTTGTGGGAGCAGAAATTGACTCAACATCACCATATTAAAGAGAGCAAGTACAGCTTCACTTGAATCGTACTCCACAGTGTAAAAAGTCAGGAATTTACCTGCTTACATCAAAATATAATAATGTAATAAATTATGAGAGCAATCCACCATTGATTAAAAGGTTCGATGGAGAATACAGTTAGAAAGACAAAATTCAGCTGCCACACCAGTCTCAGTTCATGGATAGACAGGATTATTGTCTTTCCAAATTCCTCATTTACAATCTAATATAGAGGGAGGGATGTCAATGATTCAGTCCAGAGTCAGATGCAAATGAACATTCAAGGTAATCCCAAACTAAATAGCTTGCCTTGGATAGATTTGAGTGAGAAGACAGAATTTTAAGGAAAGCATTGCTTTGATAAAAAGTCTATGTATGTATATGTATGTGTATTCATGTTTATGTACACTCAAAAGTGTGGTTTGTGATTACTGTATTCATATTTATCCAGAATAGAGAAAATGTCCTTCTGGTTTACTAAGTTTACACATTTACACATTTCCATGAGTATTTATAATTTCCTCTAAAATATTTTATACACATACAAACAGAAGAAGAAAGAAAGATGGAGAGATTTTAATTCTTTACCTGGTGGGGTCCAAGCTACAAATATGGAATAAGGTCCATTTACTGTTACATTATACAGAGACTGGATTTCTTCTGTGGTCCATCCTGGTGTTTGTATCACATAATCATCACTTGTACTACTACCACCTCCAGTTTTGGCTTCTAACTTGCAAATGTATCTACATGTTAAAAAAAGAATTATGATAAGTCAATGCACAAGAGACTTGAAAGAAGATTTCTGGCTTCTCTATCTATTGCTTAGCCCTAAATTAGTTTCAAATGCCAATTCAGAAATTTAAAGCTAGTCTTAATAATTTTTCCAGCACAGAACAATATTCTCTCCAGATTATCACTATTTCTGCCCCTCCTGACTTTATACTTAGCTCTATCCCAAGTGGTGCCAGAATTAAGCTAATCAAAAGGTTAGGGGTTCAAACTTACCAGAAAAGCCCTAGAGATCTGCTCTCATAAAGACTGAAGTCCTGAAACCCTATAGGACAGTTCTACTCTCTTATGTGAGGTTGCTATGAGTTGGAATCCTCAATGTCACACAACAACAACAGCATTTCACAGCTTTTCTTGAAGATTTCAGGAATGTCTTGGAATGTGCAGATAGATTGTGGAGGACTCAGATTAATCTTCTCTGTTTCTAAATGGGTTGGAGGTAAGGGAATTATACAACGAAAACTGTTTCTAAATGGATTTCTACTCTGCAATAAAACTGAATTGATCTCTACTCTCTACAATAAAACATGTGTTGATCTAAAATATATTTTGTCTCTGCTGAGAAATGAATAGGAATGAGTTGCAAATATATGGAACTGTTACACCTAAAACATCTCATGCCTATATCTAGTGTAGCAAGTAAAAAAAACGAAACATAACATTATACTAGCTAAAAAGATAGCTAACGTATAACAAAACTTTTAAATCTCTTTTATTGCTAGTTTCACAGAGCCTGCTTATGAAAATAGTTTGATAATTTTTAAGGTTTAAGACTTCGTGTATTTTATGTTTTAGAAATTCTTATGCTTTAGAGTTTAATTTGCCTGCTTTAGTGTTTATTTACATGTTTAAGGAGTTTGATATAAGCTGAAAATAAACTTATTGGTTTAGTACCTGGATTTTTGATATATGAGACTGATTTATAGAATAAGTACATTGACTGATGAATTTATTAATTTTATATTGTTGTAATAGGAGGTGTATTTCAACCTCTTCCAAATATAAAAATCTTACTGAATGATTGGTAAAGTTATATTTTAGTTTACCTGCTGTTGGGCTTCAAGTTTTTATCAGTGAAATTCTGCTCCTCATTGCCACCCAGGACAACCAACGTTCCATGACGTTTCAGGTGATACTGAGAAATGACGTCATTAGGCTTTTCTGGGTGGTTCCAATACAATTCCAGTGTTGTCGAATTGATGATAATATGTCTAGGTGTCACCCAAACTCCTGGCAAAAATAACACAACAAAGTTTAATGTTAAGATGAAAGTCACACATTTGCCTTATAAACTAACATATTTTTACCTATTCATAAAGAATGTCTCACTGAGCAACAATGCATATTAATTTGGAAGTGAAATATATAATGAGAGGCAAACATGTTCATTTACTTATTGCTTTGGTTATAATATTTTTGGGTTGTTTTTAGAAACTGAATGTCAAATATCATGGACTTCTCTCCATGTTGGCTGTCACTTGGAATAAAGTGAAAGTTAAGACCTAAGACACTATCCAGGGATTTCAAATGCTAATATAGAGTTGTTGTTGTGAAGGGCCATTGAGTAGGTTCCGATCCATAGGAACCCTGTATAGGATTTCTGAGAAGCGACTGGTGAGCTTGAACTGCTGACCTTGTGGTTCAGATTGACTGTCAGTCTAATGCATTAACCCACAGCACTACACCAGGACTCCTCCTCTTTCCCTACTGGACCTCAAAAGTCATAGTCATTCAGGGACTTACGTGTCTCCCTTCTCTTCTTCTCCCCTTTTTTTCTCCCTTCCTCATGTCTTCCTTCTTCTCCTATACTCTCCCAGTACTGTCTTCCTTGTTGTTAAGTGCCGTCGAGTCAGTTCCAACCCATAGCGACCCTCTACAGGGTTTCCAGGGATGTAAATCTTTATGAGAGCAGAACACCTCATGTTTCTCCCGTGGCACGGCTGGTAGTTTTGAACTGCTGGCCTGAAGGTTCGCAGCCCGATTCGTAACCACTACGCTACCAGAGCTGTCTTCCTAGGTGATCTTTATTAAGTACCTTAATTTTAAATGTCTTCTATATGTGTAGTTATGAATTGGAATTGACTAGGTGACAAGGGGTGATAGGTGGAATCTGCCCCCTATCTGTCAGTTGTCATACTGTGAAGGCTTAAGTAAGTGTTACTATAATACTGGAAGCTATGCCATAGGTATTTCAAATACCAGTAGGGTCTTCTATGGTAGACAGGTTCCAGCAGAAGTTTCAGACAAAGACAAACTTGGAAGAAAGGTCTGGCAATCTACTTCCAAAAACAAGCCAATGAAAACCCTATGGATCTCTGATATAGTGCTGGAATATAAGTCCCCAAATTGGAAGGCACTCAAAATATATAGTGGCCACAATTGACTAAAGCATGAAGTGATTGTGAAGATGGTGCAGTACCAATCAACATTCTGGTCTGTTGTACATAAAGTCACCATGACTTGGCGCCAACCAGGCTGTAGCTAACAACAATATATGCTGAAGACTCTCAAATACTTCTCTCTGGTAGCATAGTGGTTACAAGTTGGGCTGATAACCTCAAGGTCAGTAGTTCGAAACTACCAGCTGTTCCAGGGGAGAAAGATGAGGCTTTCTGCTCCTGTAAAGATTTACAGCCTTGGAAATCCTACACAGGGTTGCTATGAGTCAGAACCGACTCCACGGCAAACCACCACCACCACCACAGTAACAATAGCATAGTGGTGACGAGTTGGGCTGCTAACCTCAAGGTCAGTAGTTTTGACACTACCAGCTGTCTGCGGGAGAAAGATGAGGCTTTCTGCTCCCATAAATATTTATAATCTTGGAAACCTTCTACAGGGTTACTATGATTTGGAACTGACTCGGTGGCACACAAACACCACCACCAGAGTAACAATATCTTTTTAGCTCCTTAGACTCATGAATCCCACTGTCTTCTCAACATTTCCATTTCTTCTTTTTCAGTACAATGTTACCGTATTTGTCAATATACTTTTATGGATAGCACAATGCCTCATAAATGAATTAAAAATTTATTACAAATATACCTTCTAAAAATTATTATGTTAAGCACTCTAGCCTATTCTATAGAATACAAAGAAGTCTTAGATATGGCTCATTCTCTCAACCCTTCTACATAACAGATTATCTGCAGTTCAACGTTAAGCATTCGAATACTCTTCTAGATGTACAACCATATTGACGAAGAACCTAGAGATGTGAAATATCAATCCTACCACTTTATGATGTTGTTTATTATGACTAGACACTGAAACTGTTTTCTCCTGCTTTTTACAGTTCAGTTCAATATCGTTTCCATTAAATACAATAGTATAGGTTCTGATTCACAATGACTTTCACAGTTAGCAGTCCAGTGCTTATCCTACAGCTCCACACCCCATAATCAATGATTTTTGGTTGACTGTATTTCAAGTATAAGTTACTCTCTAAAGGATAAATTTTGCCAGTTTTAGAAGTTAAAAACAAAGTATGGAATTCAAATGTAATTTATTTCATGTTGTTAGATACCATCAAGTTGATTCTGACTCATAGCAACTGACTCATAGCAACAATATGTACAACGTAACAGAACATTTCTCAGTCCTGCACCATTATGATGATTGTTGTTTTGATTCAGCCCTTTGCTACTGACACTATGTCAACCCAACTTGTTGGGGGTCTTCCTCCTTCTTGCAGACCCTCCACTCTGCTAAGAATGATGTGCTTCTCTGGATATTGGTCCCTTCTGATAACTTGTCCTATATATGAGATGAAGTCTCACCATCCTGGCTTCTAAAGGACATTGTGACTGTACTTCTTACAACACAGATGATCTTTTGTTGTTCTTCTGGCAATTCACGATACTTTCAATATTATTCCCCAACATTGTAACTCAATTCTTCAGTGGTCTTCCTTATTCTTTGTCCAAATTTCACACACATACGAGGCTACTGAAAATATGTACCATGGCTTGTGTCAAGTACACCTTAGTCCTCAAACTGATATCTTCTTCTTGAACACTTTAAAGAGGTCTTATGCAGCAGACTTGCTTAATTCAATATGTCATTTGATTTCTTGGCTGTTGCTTCCGTGAGTGTTGATTGTGGATCCAAGCAAATGAAGTGTTTGACAATGTTAATCTTTTCTCTGCTTACCATGATGTTATTTATTGGTACAGTTGTGAGTATTTTTTATTTTCTGGGCATTCAGGTGGGAAATGTGGGCATGGGGATAAAGCATACATTCCTCATCCTTCAAGGAGTTCACAGTATCATGATGAAGAAAGAGGAATAAAGGAAAATTTGCTATCCTTTTTGATAAATGTTGGAGAGAAGGAAGCATAGTGTGCTATTATTATAGCATTTAGGAAGCATGTCTGACACAGATTGGGAATTGAGATGAGGATAGGAAGGAAGTAGAAGTTGGCGCAGGGGAAGAGTTACACAAGTGGAGATATTTGAAAAGGTGGGAATTAGTTGAGTGAGTGTTGTGGGTTGAAAAGTGTTCCCCCAAAATTCATATTCACCTGGCACCTCAGATTGTGACCATATTTCATTATAAAGTTTTTTCAGAAATGAACAAGTTAAGATGAGGTAATTGGATTTGGGTGTGTCCTAAATCCAATAACTGGTATATCCTTATAAGAAGAGGATTGACACATAGAAAAAGATACAGAGAATACATATTTAAATGCAGGCAAGACCACCATCCCAGGACGATCAAGAAGGAAGAGCATGAGTGGATGAGTGGATCGTGAGATCGCTGACGAGAAAAGCAGCGACAGCAAAGATGGTGTGCACCTGCAAGAAGGAGGCTGGCTGGCAGAGTGTGCCCTTTGGGCACTTAAATGTATATTTCATTGTTTTGTAAGTGTATAACAAATATTTTTGGCCTGTTCATTTGTGAAATCCAAGATGTAAATGGGAGCCACAGGAAGGAAGTGGGATAAATGTTGTTGCAGGGACAGGATTGTAATCCTTGAGATGAAACAAAGTGTATAATCAATCTGTTGAATGCAAAGCTGCTGATCTAACCTGTAGGCCTTCACTCAAAGCACAATAAAAAGTAATAAAAACAAGCAAACTCAGGATTCTTATATGTAACAAAAACTCTGCCAAACTAACCTAAACAGAGATGTAATCTCTTGGTTTGTGTAACAAAAGAACATTCAGGGTGGGCTGGGGAGAATGGAGACAGACATTGCAGCTACATGCTAAACCACAACAAGGATTAAGGAAAGCCTCCAGAAGCTGGAAAAGACAAGCAAAGATTCTTCACAGAGCCTTCAGAAGGAACATGGCTCTGATGAAAACTTCATTTCAGATTTCTAATTTCCAGAACTGCGAGAGAATCAATTTCTGTTAGCGTAAGCCACTTGTCTATATACTTTGTTAGGAAAGCCGTAGAGAACTCATCTAGAATGGAGGTGAAACATTCTGACAGAAGGTACCCACACAAAGACCCAGAGATATGAGAGCCTGGTGGAACTGCAAGTACTTTGTTCTGGCTGGAGCACTCAATGCCATGTGGGAAGTACAGAAGACCCCACAGACTGGCAGTAAGGAAAACCTGAAGGTCTGCTTTGTTTAATGGAATTTTTGTTCTTTGAAGGGTGTGAGAATTTTTACTGAAGTGATTACTGTGAAACATACCTATTTCATTCAGTGAAAAAGAAAACAGAAATGCGGTGAGGGATATAGAAATGAGAAAAAAATGATTATGGTTCAGGGAAAACAGTTAAGAGAATCAATGGGAATTATAAGCAAAGATTGGACTGAGGTAATGGCAAAAGGGATGCAGAGCAAGCAAAACAAAAACTTCTCAAAAGTTCACGGGATTATATTCTTAAAAGAAAGACCAGTAGGAAAAAAAATCAAAAACAAAAATGTCAGTCTGATTGGCTACTACAAGTTGTTTGCCTGGAGCCATCAAGGCAAGCAATCAAGTCCCTTCAGGACTAACCCCCCTCCAAGACTAAAATTCAAAGGGAACACATGAACAGGCATGTAAGCTTGCTGGTGACCATGCTGGTCCACTGGTGAATGGAAGTGGGAGAAAGGCAGCAACAGAGATATGGGCTGAGTTCAACCACGTTCCATAGACTCCTGTCAACCTGAAGATGAGAGAGAGAAGAGGAAGGGCTGATTGGTCTGAAGTGTGAGACCTGGGGACTCCTGGGCCCAGGGACAAGGACATAGCAATGGAAGGCTAGAGTTGAGAGTGAAGTGTC